GTCTGCAGATTTGAGTCGACTGATTCCATAGAAAATCACATAGTGTATGATGGTCAGACTCTGATTTGTTTAGCTTCAGACTTTGATTCCATCCAGTCGGAGGAGATCAAACATGTTTGATATTTTCTGCCGATTTTAGAACACATATTGTTTTCATTTTTCACTTGTCTCCTAGCAACAATGCTAATGAGTTTTTTGTGATCAGAATGAATTTAAAGTCTGGTAGTGTGTGATCCTCAGTTGTGTAGTGTATGATGTCAAGTTTTCCTTTGTGACTATTTACAAAGTCTATTTTAAAAGTCGTGTAGTGTATTCCAGCTTTTGGTTGCTTTTTTTCTGGACAGAAACGACAGGTTTCTGATGGCTCCTTCTTTGTACGGATGACATGCCTCTTTCATCTTTGGGCATAAATTACAGTTACATCTAGATTTTTTTTATCTTAAAGCTGTTAAAATACGTTATTAATCATGTTATAAAGATTAATTTAAAGTGACAACCATCAGTTTATATGTAAAGTCTGTTTATGAAGTATTTACATTGACGTTCAGTGTTGAAGAGCTTAAAGAGAGCACACTGAGCTTAATTGGAGCAGCAACAAGTTTGAATAAATTTCATGTAATATTAAAATGACAAGATTTAGCAAAATAAACACTCTAGGTCATGCATTAAGTTCATACATATTTTAATATGAACAACTATCATTAACAATATATGAAATTATACTTTTTTTTATTGATGTCACACTGAAGCTGTGTGATTTTCATAGTAGTGTACCCTTTAAGCTCACCTTGCAATAATATGACATCTTTAAAAATTACAGCAGTGTAAAACCACAGACCAGCAATAAACTGTCCATTTATAATATTGTGGATTAAAAAGTACAAGCCAGTAATGCCTGTGAAGTAATATATTAGCGTAGCACACAATCTTATACAACGAGTCAGCTAACTGTGTTCTGTAGCATCTGCACTGTGTTGCTAAAACTATCTTTTGGATCTAACAGTAATTTTTTCCCACATCCAAGTTCCAGGTTATAATATGCAAAAGTCTAAACATTAATCTCTTAATTTTACAGTAAGTAGTGAACCTTACCCAAAATAAAGGCATAAACATCTAAAAAAAAGCACATTTAAAGGGCTCCTCTTTTGTTGAAAGTTTTTAGACAGCTTTCAAAATGGCCGCCAGACAGTGTGAACACGCAAGAAAAACGCAAGAAAAACAAAACAAAACGAATAAGACAATATGGCAATAGTCTTTCTTTTTGTTGTGTTTTGTAGTGCTGTCATGTCTACAAATGTTTTAACCTAACTTTAGCACTTCAGTATTTCGTATGCATGTCCTGCTGTGTCATATTTTGTAATGTTAAGATTGCAAACCTGTCTTTATATTTTTCATAAATGTATCCATTTTCTCTTGTTTTGTGACTATTCTGGAGAAAATGAGCCTGCTGGGGAAAGACTTAAAAAAATACAAAGTAAGCAAGTTAATAGACATTTTTGCTGAAATTCATTGTGCTGTTGTTGTTAACAGGCATGGTTTCCTGGAACAGGTGAGGGAGTGAGTGGAAGCTGGTGGAGCTACTCAGGGAGGATATCAAACTCCAGAGAGAGAGACAGAGGAGAGAAGAGCACAGGAGAGCAGAGAGAGAATGGAGGGACTGTTTTCTCTTCTTGAGAGAATGCTTAAAAAATACATTATTTATTAGCCAAGAGAAAACAATGGAAAAAAAAAATGGGTACATTACAATTTTTCAATATCTTTTTTTAAATGTCACATTGTCAATGAAACAACCTAATTTGTAGTTTATTTTTGTGATGTAAGTTCAAAATGAAATAAGTTGTATACATTATTAATTTTTGTAGTGTCATTTATTTGTAAATAAGCCTGAGTACTTTCTGTACATTTTGTATTTTTTTTTGCATATTCACATGTGTAAATAAAAGAGAAGTAATTATGTACATTTTTATTTTTTTTAATGCATCTTATACTATACGTTTTTTTTTTGTCCTGTAAAGAATTTTTTTTACACATTTAAACAACTTGTTCTATACATTACTGAAAGTACTTTTTACAACATAGCTTAGGTTTAACATTAGAAAAAAACACGTCAATTTTGAGCCCAGCCCTGCCTCCATGTGTTCTGGGGTCTTCAGGAGGCGAATCTCTGGGTGGCGAATGGCCAGCACCTCCTGGAATGAGGCATGTTAAACACTCTGGAGACCACTCTGTATGATGTACCACTGGCCACAAATAAGAGAAACACCAGGGTCTGGATTGTGGCACCCCATCTGTGTTGCCGTTCACTTCTCAGAAGATCCAGCAACACTGTCAGGGCCTCCCTGCTCAGCCGAAAACTGTTAAAAACCTGCAGCACTTCACATTCAGCTTTATCCTGCAGTACAGGGGTCTGGTCTGATTTAGGAAAAGAAAGAAAAGAGAAATTGTTTAGAGCTATGACAAAGTAATTAGTGTCACATGTTCATGAGGATTAGGTTAATCATCCCATATAAAAAACATCACAAGTAAAATTAATCATGTTTATAAAGATAAACGTGGGTTTATTATAGCCCACGTACAATTTACATTTCAGAGATCATTACAAATAAATTATTAAATGCTAAAACTGAATAAATTTAAATGAACAAACCTGGCGTTGCATTTGCAACCATGTGAAAACAGGGGGTGCTGCAGGCCCCTCAGCACCCCTACTTCCCACGTCCCTGAATCTGGAACAACTTGAGGGTGAGTAAATGGGTGAACTATCCTTTAAGTAAAAGTATTATCTTGCATACTCGAATATACTTAAGGTGTTGAGAGTAAAAGTAAATGTATACAGTATTGTTCCGAAAAAATAATTTGTTACTAAATATTACTGCTGCACTGCTGTGTATGTTGCATTTTACTTCTGAATATGTTCAAGCTTATTAAATTTAGTTGCCTACTAAATATACTGTTGAGTAGTTTAATCTGCAACAATGCATCATGTTGTAAAAGACCATATTTTTATAGTGTTGCTGTCTGTGAGGAAAAAAAGAAAACTTAGTACTTCATATTTGTTAGAGTCGAGAATACTTAACGAATGTACTTCCTTACAGTCGACCTCTGATTATTTTGAAAATGAAAGTATCATAATTTTGTCAGAATATTAACACATTTTTGCTAACTATATCAGAGGCTGCATCTGAAGGACTCAGACCGGTCAAACAGAGCACTGTTCAGCTGTGACAGCTGCGACTGAACATTGAGCTGTACAATGCTCTATTTTTTATTATTCACAGTTTTATTTTTGCTAACCTGTCTACATATGATCACCATGGTCAAGACAATAAACTATATAAAATCGCACCTTTGTAAGATATCAGTCAGCATTTGAACTGCTGTGTGTGTGTATTTTGTAGTTTTTTATATGTATCATTACATAATTCAAGTAAGCTCCAAGCCAATTCCTGTATTTAAAGTTGTAATCCGACAAAGGACGCAGCAAACCAATGTAACTTACCTGGCCTCTGTCTTGGATAAGCCCTGAGCCTTTTCTTTTTATAATCAAAAATGGAAGTGTGCTTAATGGGTACGTGAGCTTAATAGGTACGTTTACCCTAAATGCTAAAGCCTATGGTTCTTAATCGGAAAATGTACACAGACCTATAGTGATCTCAAAAAGTATCTGGAGGTTTAAGATAGACTAGCGATCACAAAATATCCGAAAAATTGCAAATGCAAATAAATGAAGATAGTAATTTCTTACCTTTGCAATGACTTTAAACCAGTTGGAGTGAATGTTTTTTTTTGGAGGTGTTCATGGTGATCAGTTTTAATCGCATCATCATTTAAACCTTAACAAACTTATTTTTGTGGCATGTTTTGCTTAAAAGGTGAACTTACGCTGTTTGTAACGTCAAGTGGCTCTTTTAAGATATTTTAAAGACTCTTTTTACAACCTGAGAGTTACTGTTGTTGTAGAGAGTGCATGTGTTGCTTTGGTTGCCTTGTGTTCTTCCTTTCTCTCTCTTTCACAGGATTGGATCAGGCCAAAGTGATTTCCAACTATGACTGTTGTGAGTGGAACCAAAGAGCCCACCTATAGAAGGCAACCAATTACCAGTAGAGACCAACAGGGTCCATTACATTTCCCAGTAAAACCAATACAAGTCCCATTATAACCAGTAAAACCATTACAAATGTTGTTTTTTCAGCAGGGGTTTTATAAATTTTTTATTCGAAATATTCCCAAAATATATCACGAAATATCTCGATTCTCAAATATGTGTAAGTAAATGCATTTTGCACCTTTATAGATTATGTGAGTTGATCTATAATGGGCGATGGGCAAAGTAGCCTAATAGTGTAATCTATTAACTTTGCATACATTTTTTTTTTTTACTTAAGTTCCAGATATGGGTGTCAAACCATAAAATATTTTTAATACGACTGACTTTGTATTTAATGTGAATTTGATAAAAACATTGTAAGTTACTAATTAGCCTGTAACACTTTCATTGTACAAAAACAGAGCAAAGAACATTTACATTATCAAAGAACATTTTCACTTCAGTTCAGAGTTCAAGCACTCTCAAAAACTCCCATAATAATCTCTAAAGCTCTTTACACTGTGAAATGTATTTGCCACGTTTAGGTGAACTCTAACTTATTGTCTATTGTACCACCCTTGATGATAACCAGTATATTTTAAGGTAAAAGATTTTGATAGCTTATCCAAACAGACATTAAGTATCAATATCAATACAAAAACACTGTTATGAGTTGTAAAATTCCATAATACTAGGACATATAACACCAGGATATTTTAATATTAAAATATTTCTAGTATTCCATAATACTAGGATGTTTAATATATATTTAATGTATAAAGGGAGATAAAATTTTTAATTCAGGGTTCAAGTAAGGGTCAAGTATTTACACTAATCATGTTGGAACATTTAAAAGACATTCAAGCAGTAAGACAATCAAACAACAACTTAGGGTTTGCAAGAAAATAGCACTTTTAAAATTGATTTGGGAGCGGCTGAATAGAAAAAAAAAACTATTACTAATAAAAGGTTTTCTGATAAATACAATTAAATGGATGTGGCCATGATAAGAATCACAATAAATTCATATGGAAATTTATCACTGAGATGTCTTGAAACACTTTACCTCACAAATAAAATCTATTTATGCAGTTACTGAAGTCACACAATCTTTCAAGTCTGTTGCTTTTTCCTCTTCTGTGATCCTCTTCTTCCTTGATGCTTTGCTGATGACCATTCTCTGCCCTTATTTGCCCTTTTGTTTTCTCTCAACATGATTGTTGGTCCTTTACCAGCTGATGTTGTGGTCTTATTTATGAAGTCCTCTTTGACCATAGGCTCAATGATCGCACCCAATTTAGTGATAACTTTGGGTTTTGTCATCTTCTTCACAACACCTTGTGTGTTCCACGTCTGCCCAACAGGTGTACGGATGCAAGATTCAAACTGTGCAGTGTTTTGAAATGGGAATGGTAGTTGACTAACCTATAAAAAAACCCAATAATATTTAGAGACACACAGTATTGGGCTTCATTTTAATTTCTGAGATGACATTTGAATTGAATTAAAACTCCTGTCACTAGTTTCCAGCATTCCAAAGAAATTCAACAAATTTAACCGGGTCAACGAAATGGACAAGGACATATAACTTCTTAAGTATTCCATTTGTTTTTTGTTTACATTTTTTGTTAAGCATCTTGTCTCAAAATCATGAGGGAATGAGATTCTTATACTCAAACTCCTATCAATTTTATAGACCTCTACTATTTTTGAGTGTTGTCAGACGATTAGTTACCTGATGCGAAGCGATTGATGTATTTCTGTTCTCTGATATGATGGTATCAGGCAGTTTCCGGTCTTGCCGTGGAGGTGATGAGGCCATTTTTATCCTAAATCTACAGAGACAAATGAACCATTAGGGCTATGATAAGGCTTTGAGCTGAGGATGTGTAGGTTGCCATTTATGTCAAAAAAGCCAACTTATAGCGTAACTCTCTACCAAGTGAGAGGGTTCTCTATATAGTTTACAGTATTAGAAGAAAGAAAAATAGACATGGATCTGAAGTATTTTCAAAAGAATTGATATCAAATCAAGACTAAATCTGCTCCAAGTGAAAGAAAACATTTTGGGCCAGATTCACTAAAGGTAAATTCAATTCAAGTTTATTTGTATAGCGCTTTTCAAGATACAAATAGTTCCAAAGCAGATTTACAGAAAATTCTCTACAATATATTTAGTAGTAGCTTATCAGTGGTGACTGTCAGTTAATGTACATAAGGCAGAAATATACTTGTGTGACAACCTTGTGAAGACTTACAGAAAACGTTTGACCTCTGTCATTGCCAACAAAGTGTATATAACAAAGTATTGAGATGAAATTTTGTTATTGACCAAATACTTATTTTCCACCATAATTTGCAAATAAATTCTTTAAAAATCCTACAATGTGATTTTCTGGATTTTTTTTTCTCATTTTGTCTCTCATAGTTGAGGTATACCTATGATGAAAATTACAGGCCTCTCTCATCTTTTTAAGTGGGAGAACTTGCACAATTGGTGGCTGACTAAATACTTTTTTTCCCCACTGTATGTGGTGGCGCAAGCTGTTATGGCGCTTTTCCACTGCGTGGTACGACCCGGCTCAGCACGGTTTGCGTTTCCACTGCAGTTTAGTATCGCTTTAGAGTGGGCAGGATTATTCACATGTCGTTAGTTGCACCGTCTCTACTGCCGCGACTTCTGAAAAACTTTTTCATTCCACGTCGCCCCATCAAGCTCTCGCTGGATCCACTCCTCTGCTATCAACGAGAGGAACGTCTGTACTTCCTCAACAGGCAACGAAACACCAACCGAGGTGGTACTAAAAAAGTACCAGGTACCGTATCCAGTCGAAAACCCCCCAAAAGTGAAACATACCGAGCCGTACCGTACCATGCAGTGGAAAAGCGCCATTAGTAAATCTGGCCCAAGTCTTTGTTCAAGAGTCTTCATCTCAAGTAAGTACCACTTTAAACATTTCTCTGAAATGCTACTCATTTTCTTTGACATTTTAATTTAAAATGACTAAATATATCTTTAAGCTAGTGAAGGAGAAAGAAAAAAATATTTAAAATGAACTGTAATTTAAATAATTAAATGGCTAAAACAACAACAGGAAAAAGACAGATGTTTTGAAATTTAAAGATTAAAATAATTTAATACTATTACCTTTTGCGTTTCCAGCGGGAGGGTTTGAGACCAACACCTCCCCATTCTCCCCAGCCTGGCAGTGTCAGGTCCACCACTTTAGGCTTCCCAGCAGCTTCCTGTTTCCTTTTGTCCTTTATGAAATCAGAAATTACATCATCCCCAGCAAAGGCCTCCTTGATGATGGAGATCTGTTCATCATGATCCTAAGAAAAAAGGGAAAACATTTTAAATACAGGAAAACGCAGCACACAATGTTACTTCTCACAAATCACTCATAACTAAATGTTAAAGGGGTCATATGATGCTGCTAAAAAGAACATTATTTTGTGTATTTGGTGTAATAAAATGTGTTTATGCGGTTTAAGGTTCAAAAAACACATTATTTTTCACGTACTGTACATTATTGTTTTTCCTCTATGCCCCGCCTTTCTGAAACGCGTCGATTTTTACAAAGCTCATCGTTCTGAAAAAGCGAGGTGTGCTGTGATTGGCCAGCAATCCAGTGCGTTGTGATTGGGCGAATACCTCAAGCGTGTGACAGAAATGTTACGCCCCTTACCATATTGTGATGCTGCCCTGTCAGGCCGGAGCGATGAGACAAAAACATGAAAACCCATTATAAATGAGGCATTCGTTGCATCCAGTGGAGTTATGGATTGCACTGGATGTCATTATAATTATGGATTATAATGACTTATACTGTCTTTTTACGCATTGCGCCGCGTAAACATAAAACCATGTCTGCATTTGTGATCGGAGAAATGACAAACAACAAGCCCTACTCTACACTGCCCAAAAAACTCGCTTTAAATATATAAAATATTAAAACTCTTTAAATATAAAAAACGTACTTACAGTCTTTGAGTCAGAACAGCCGGCATTGTAGTCTACTCTACCAGGATCAGTAAACAGTCCTCCATAAAAATGTGCTGCACACATCTGAATATTTGGGTTGAAGTGTTCTGGAACAGTGTTGTAAATACAACTTAACCACTGATTTCTAGTCGTGTCCATTTTTGGAAGGCCAAACAAAGTAGTTTCGCTTTCACAACGAAACGGCGTCACACACGGCGGCCTACAGTGAGCAGAGGCCAGGGGCTAGCGTAAGGAACGGCAGGAGGGTTAGAGTGAGCAGAGGCGGTGGGCTTGAGAACGGCGCAGCCGGCGATTTCGTTCAGAGCATTCGGAAGGACATGTGACGACTCCGGGCTGAACTCCGCTCCGTCCCCGGTGAAAGCCGATCCGGCGATCCACAGCGCAAAGTTGTAGTATTTCCTCAGCGACCAGCACGGATCTGCTCCAGGCATGACGAAGCAGATATTGTCCTCTTTTGGAAGACCAAACAAAGTAGTTTCGCTTTCACAACGAAGCACACAGCGTCTTTACGACATGGCGCCAACAACAAAACTACAGCGAGAATAAAAGTTATGCCTTCTTTCTTTGCGTGAATATTTGGGCGGCATTATGCAAATCTTCCCACATAGCGACGTAGATATGTGGGGGCGTGTTAGAACGAGCCGTTTTAGGTAGGTGTGGCTGACTATAAAGACTATTCTTTTATAAAGAATATCTCTTTGGATTTGAGACTTTAGTCTTTGCAACTTTACAGATCTTCTTCTTAGACCGACCTTAGCAAGGGTTAAATCTGATTCTGTTCAGTGTTCACAATCTTATAGGTCCAATTTCACAACCCATGTTGTCCAGTTTTTTTTTTGGTTTGTTTTTTGTCCACGAGAACACATTATATACATCTATATCTGACAGTCTTGCTTTCATTTCTTTAAAATTAACATGGGCTGCATCAGAAATCTCAAACTCTTCATATAACAGTAGATGGAAAAAAGCATCCGAATTACTTTATACCTCTGGCAACATTCTTAATGCCCATCCACTTTACTATCCTATGAGGCCACAGGAGAGGATTTGTGAAAGGCAGTGAAGCAACACAACTAATGCTGGATATGACAATAACAAGGCGAATATAATAAGTCTGGATTACATTCATTCAATCATACTATAATATAAAATATGAAACAATTACGTATTCAAAAGAAGTACATACTTAGAGTATGCAATTTTGGATGCAGCCATGGCGCTTACCCTGACTAAGGTCTCACAACCCATGTTGTCCAGTTTTTTTTTTGGTTTGTTTTTTGTCCACGAGAACACATTATATACATCTATATCTGACAGTCTTGCTTTCATTTCTTTAAAATTAACATGGGCTGCATCAGAAATCTCAAACTCTTCATATAACAGTAGATGGAAAAAAGCATCCGAATTACTTTATACCTCTGGCAACATTCTTAATGCCCATCCACTTTACTATCCTATGAGGCCACAGGAGAGGATTTGTGAAAGGCAGTGAAGCAACAACTAATGCTGGATATGACAATAACAAGGCGAATATAATAAGTCTGGATTACATTCATTCAATCATACTATAATATAAAATATGAAACAATTACGTATTCAAAAGAAGTACATACTTAGAGTATGCAATTTTGGATGCAGCCATGGCGCTTACCCTGACTAAGGTATATTGTATATACTTCATTTAAAATTCAACTCACTTCCTCTTCAACCACTGTTGTGCAGAGTATCACAACACATACGCACGCTTTACCCTAAGTGTAAACAACGCTGATTACATCCATGCGCACTTTCCCCTCCTAACGTAAACAACGCCGATTACGTTCTTGGGTACTCTCCAAAATGGCAGAAGACGTAACTCGGGGGAGAAGAATAGTTAAATAAATTATGTTATTTTAATTTTCTTTGCGCACAAATTATTCTCGTAGCTTCGCAAAATTGTTAAGCCACTGATGTCACATGGACTGTTTTACCGATGTCCTTACTACGTCTCTGGACCTGGGAACATTACAGTTTCGTTGCCGTCTATGCAGGGTCTGAGAGCTCTCACATTTCATCAAAAATATCTTAATTTGTGTTTCGAAGATGAACGAAGGTCTTACGGGTTTTGAACGACATGAGGGTGAGTAATTAATTACAGCATTTTCATTTTGGGGTGGACTAACCCTTTAAACATAAAACAAGATTACCCATGATTAAACCCATTTACTCAGGGTTTACAATTACCCAGTATTAATTATTTCAAGTGTGAGAGACCTTAATGCTTCAAAGTTTGAGGTACTATCAGTGATTATGCCAAATATGCCCCATAGCAGTGGATACTACTTGATCTATGACTATGCTTCATGTTATAACAATAAAAAAAGAAAAGGAAATTCTTATAATTAATTCAGGTGAGGCAAACCTTGGTTTACTGATGTGAATACAATGTGTGGGGAAAGCAACCTCTTTTCCCCACAAGGTGTGGAATTTGTTTCAAACATGTTACAGTGCTGCATATCTAAACTCTTGGTAGCTTCAGAAGTTGTTAAAATGAACAGAATCCCTTCTTCCAAATATCCCTGAAACTGATTGAAATATAGAATCTTATAAATAGAATACCGAAAGCAAGTTAAAGTGCCTCAACGTGACCAATTTTAGCACTCAGACAGATATGTTCAACTCCAATGTAACTGTTTTGATAGAGAATCTTTAATTTCAATAACATTTATTCTTCAGAGATTAAATACAAATTTAATCTAATAATGTTTAATTAAATAAAAAATTTAAATAAAATAAGTATTATATACAAAGTGACCAACATTTGGTTTTCGACCACTGAAAAGGGTAAAATTTAATAATTTGAAATTCCAATATCTCTGGAACTGAAACATATAGAGCCCTTAAAAATGAAGATGCCAAAAGGAAAGTTTGTTAAAACACCAAATCTAAAATGGCTTTTTCCTCCATTTTTGAATGTTCATCATTGGTATATAATGCAAAAAAGATTTCTTGAAAAAATTTTTACTAATTGATCTACCAATCTCTGTGTAAAAATAACAATGATGCTGCCATCTTTCTGAAGTCATTTTTACCCCCGTAATTTGGCTCCGAATCTCAGGTGAAAATTGTCACTTTGACCCCCCTCTACAAAATAGTGAATTGCTCAGTAAATATACATCTGTGACACTGAATATTTTGTCTTTAGGTATTTCCTCCACAGTGGCCAAGACCATACAGCGGTTTAACAGGACAGGTTTCACTCAGAACAGGCCTCGCCATGGTCTACCAAAGAAGTTGAGTGCACATGCTCAGTCATATCCAGAGGGTGTGCTTGGGAAATAGACGTATGAGTGCTGCCAGCATTGCTGCAGAGGTTGAAGGGGTGGGGGTCAGCCTGTCAGTGCTCAGACCATACGCCGCACACTGCATCAAATTGGCAAGCTGCGCAAAACATGCGCAACATATGATCGTGGTTTTTGCGCAGCTTGTCAGTGAACAACGGCTCTGTGTAGTTAATGCTGCTCCATGTGAAAGCCCGCAGGTGATGGAGATTTACCGCTGATTAAAGAACCGGCTTTACTGACAAGATGCGGGTTAAATATCGCATGCGATTTATCGTGCAGCCCTAGTGGCCACACAAAATATTGACACTTTGGACATTTTCACTTAGGGATGTACTCACTTTTGTGGCCAGCGTTTAGACATTAATGGCTGTGTGTTGCGTTATTTTGAGGGGACAGCAAATTTACACTGTTATACAAGCTGTACATTCACTACTTTACATTTTAACAAAGTGTCATTTCTTCAGTGTTGTCACATGAAAAGATATAATAAAATATTTACAAAAACATGAGGGGTGTACTCACTTCTGTGAGATACTGTATATATAAAAAAAAAAAAAAAAAAAAAATTGAGCCGTGGACCTCTGGTTGAGTTGACACAGAATGACCCAGGTGTTTTCTATACTGCTCCAACATTACAGCAGAATCCTTATTGCATTATACATTTCAACCATTTCACTGTATACACCTTGTCATAATGCCAGGCCTAGGCCTACCTATACTAGAAGCAGTAATAACTTGATTTGAATGGCTATAAAACATCTATGGCAATAGAATAGAAGCTTTATCAAAGTCATACCTCCTCCAAGCTCATGGCTTTAAGTGATGCCTCCTCTACAGGAGTCAAAACAGGGTCATTGACTGGCTGGCTGTTGCTGTGCTAGAGTCTGAAAATCTCTTGTTCAAGAGGAGTTTGAGCCTGTCAAAGAATTTGCGCATGGAGTTAGTATTAAAATAAAAGCAAGTGCTTCTACCAAACATGTGTTTTAGCTACAATTGGTCAGCATGCAAAGAAACAATTACATTAAAGTAACATTTGTAACTCAAGATCAGAAACAGTCATTTTGTGTATGTGTGTGTGCTTGCATACATGTTGTGAGGACAAAATTGTGTCGAATTCCAGTAAATAGTCATTCTCTCATTACTGAGCCTTTGTACAATTAGAGGAAAATAAACCACAAAGAAAGGTAACAATGATTTAGACAAAACTAAAATACAAAAAAAAAAAAAACCTTGAGCACACTCAATGTAACATCAGTGTTAGCAATTAGACTGCTTGAAGGCAAAGTGAATTGTAATAATGTACACAATATAATTCAATTAAAAGTTAAGACAATTTTACAAAGAACAATGTAGTACAAACACACCAATGAACAAGCAAATGTGAAAGAATTATGCTCCTCCTCATAAACCTGCATATAAAACTGAAACAGGAATAAAAACTTTCATATAGCCTAAATCATATCTTGTAAAAAGTATTTGTAAATGACGAATTTTTTTGACAAAACTAAAAAAAAAAAAAAAAAAAAAACCTTGAGCACACTCAATGTAACATCAGTGTTAGCAATTAGACTGCTTGAAGGCAAAGTGAATTGTAATAATGTACACAATATAATTCAATTAAAAGTTAAGACAATTTTACAAAGAACAATGTAGTACAAACACACCAATGAACAAGCAAATGTGAAAGAATTATGCTCCTCCTCATAAACCTGCATATAAAACTGAAACAGGAATAAAAACTTTCATATAGCCTAAATCATATCTTGTAAAAAGTATTTGTAAATGACGAATTTTACTATGTCAACCATAGTTGTGTTTTTAAAAAAGCGGTTTATTGATGTAAAAATGAACTGAAGATGGCTATAGATTATTTTAGAGGGGTTTCTAAAATGTAATGATGAATATTAAGGATATAATATATATTGAAGAGAGTGAATGACCTAACTTATCTTTGTGTAACTAATTCTATAAACTTTACGTAAAACCTGCAATCCCCCAACAAAATTCAGGCCCTGGAGAGTAAACAAATCGTAGATACTAGTATTGATTTCTGAGTCTGACTAGAGTTTTGAGGCAAAAATTAGATTGAATGTCTTTTTTTGAAAGTGTGTGTGCTGTTCCTATTTGCAACATATAGCTTATTACAGGCAAAAAGTGAGGTAAAGGGGCTTTGGTAAAGGAAAAGAATAGTGCACCCCTAATAGCAATGTACGCATTTAAACCAAACGTAACCATGACAGATTTGAGCCATTCCAAAAAAATAAAATATAAATAAATAATAAAAATCCACCTTCCATCCAGCCACAACCTGCTCCACCTGTTTAGGTCCTAAGGACTCCTGGTTCAAACACTATTTGTTCAGCCTTCTGGTTCTGCACTATGATGTTCTGCCAGCAAGACACCTCTTTAGTGGTCTTCTCATACGCTATGCCTCTCTGAATCTGTGGACATAATAGAGAGAAAAACTTCATCAAAATAAAGACACCAAGAATACCAAGGCTGAATTTAGAATAGTGGGTCCAGATTTAATAGTTTTTTTTTAACAACTACACCTTTGTGCCCGCATGTTGAGAAGTAAGCCTATGGCAAAACTTCTATGACAAATTTATGTAAAAGGTTGAAATCACAAAGCCTACACTACTTGTACATTTTAGCAACAGACTTGAAATTTGTTTGCTTTGTAACACCATGCCAGGATCTATAGCTATAATCATTCATGAGTAATCAGGTTAAAATAAAGTAAAACCAGTCAAATGTTTAAGATCCATTTTTAGTAAAAACTAAACTGAATATTGTCTGACTCTGCAAAAATCCTCATGTGTGTCAGCAGAAAAAAACCTTTTTAGAAGACAAAAAAAAAATCACATTAAAATTGTGTGAGCAACATAACTTGGCACAAGAGTAAATTACTTTTCTCCAAGTGACTACTAAAATGAAAAGTCACTGATCCCATTCTGATTGCTACTTGCTTCAGACATGAAATTTATGTTTATATGGACTACATTTTTTAAATTATATCCCTGATGCCATTAATTGCTACTAATTTAAAAGCACAGGTTTTAGAACAAGTGATAAGCCTCTCAGTTTATCATAGAGTAACTGAACTGAAAATGTATCATTTCACCTTTTCTGTTTGTTGAGCGGTAACGCCAAAGTCCCTTTACTGTTTTGCAGGTTCCTCAGCTGTTTCTTGGTCTTGTTGGAGGCTCCTGAGGTGTTCTCCACGGTTCCCAGGAGGTCAGAAATGTTGACTTTCTCTCATGTACCTTTAAACAGAATTAAGAAAACTTACTACTGATGTTCTATTTCAGTCAAAAATATAATGTGAATAAATTTAGCATTTACCCTCTGCATTGACAAAGAACTCGGA